CTACACAGGCATCACAGAATCAACTCAATTACGGAAAACTATCGACTCCCAAATCAGCTGGACAGACCGAAACTTTTGTAATTGTAGTACCATCGGCAGGTGGGTATGGTTAATAGATTGATTGATTAATGAGAATCTAATAAATCATGTTTTTTTCTCTTCATTCCATTGAGCGAATATTGTACAGCGTGTTATAAAAGCAGAACATTTCGTTTACAATAATTTAGATGCAGCCAACGAGCAATAAATTGAAATAGTAAATTCTCTGGGACAAAATGTATTTTATGGGCTTTTTGAAGTATGCTTATTAATATAAAGGAAAAATGGGAAATTAATAGCTGTTCATAAGCTAACCCCCCCCCTCCCTCCGCACCGCGACTTTGCCTTTCTTGCCCTCCTGCTGACCAAATTAGTTTTTCGCCTCCTCTCATTAAAAACATACTTTTTGCCTGTTTTTGAATACATTAACCACTCAGTAGATCAGTGGGTGACTCGCACTTTCAGTTATTGATAACATCTGCTAAATGTGGGCAGCCGTGTGCTATTTCCCCCAATGCGTTTCTTATTATACCCTGCCCTAAAGGCTGTTTTGCCCAACCTGCGATATTTGTTTAAGTGAGTACCCTACCCACTAAAAAAAAAAGTTTCCCTGTCCTTGCATTTTTTTTTAGAAATCTGCCCTTCCCACTACTGATATTTCCCGCCCCCTACAGAAATAGAAAAAAATCCCTGCCCTCAACAAAAATCGTTTGGAACAGCTTTTCTGATGAACAGCTCCATTGGCTGCACCTGGTAATTCATAATAGCATATACTTTATTTGCGAGAGGACCCAGATAGAACTACGAGAGCGTTTACTTTTCTCCATACATATGTATACACGGTATTTGACGTAAATGCAACCCGATTTCAGGACCAAAACAAATCTCTTGGTTTTCTCCCTTTCAACGAGATCTTCACTACGATCATTTGCGATCACAAACTGTATCGAAAAGCGATATTTAAAATTGTATCTTTAATAGAAACCTTATTTAGAATAATGTTAGTGACATTTCTATCTAAATAGACAAGTTACAGTTATGCAATTCCTTCTGTCAAGTAAAGCAAATTAATTAGATTTTTAAATGTCTTAAATTAATTGGTGTTCTATATTTTTCCATACAGGTGGGACGTACGTATTTTGTGTGGTTGCAGTGGATGATGTTGACAACAAATCTCCCCGATCCAACATAGTGACTGTTTCTATGAATGACTTTAATGGAGGCTATGCTTTGTTAATTGCTCTGTTAATCCTGGTAGTCATCATAATTATAATTATCGGTGCCATAATTTATGTACGAAATAGGATGTTGAAGAAGAAACAAGAAA